GGAGTATTGTTAAATTTCTTCAGAAATTCTATTGTTGGTCCAGTACTTGGAGTAATAGTTGGATTTTTTGGAGCATTATGGGCAAGAAGAATAGTAGGAGATGATGTTGAAGTTGGATGGTTAACATTTGTATTTACATATCTAACTTTCTATTGGGCTGAATTTTGTTTCTTTAAAACTAGTGGATTACTTGCAGTTGTATCATTAGGTTTGTTTTGGAGTGCCTTTGGTAAAACAAGAATTAGATCAGAAAGTGAACATGCTGTTCATACTGTTTGGAGTTTTGTATAATATTCTTGTGACACTACAGTATTTTTATTAGTTGGAATGATTGTTGGAACTGAAGTTATTGAAGAAAGATATATTTATACTTCTGATTACTTTAGGATGATACTTTTTTATTTCTTTATGATAATATGTAGATATCTTATGGTTATATCATTTTGGCCGTTACTTAAGAAATATGGATATCCTATGTCCTAACCAGAATTAATAGTATTTGTTTATGGAGGTCTAAGAGGAGCACTAGGATTAACACTTTCATTAATGGTTGGATGTGATCCTGATTTACCTCCAAGATTCAGACATTTATCTGTATTTTTTACTGCTGGAATGGCTGCTCTAACAAATCTTGTTAATGGAACTACCTGTAAGGCACTTGTTAATTATCTTAATATGATTGAAAATCCAGTCATAAAGAAGAAAGTCTATAAACGTTATTTGACTGATATGATAGTGAATTAAGAAGATACAATTAAAGAATTAGAAGGTGATGAACATTATGCTATGGCTGATTGGAATTAAGTCAAAGCACTAGTTGGATCTCAAGAATATTTACAGGAGGTTGTCTAATTGGAAAATGAGATTAAATAAATTCAAGGTGGAAATATGAGTAGAATTTCATATGAAGGATTAACTGATTCAGAAACTTTTGGAGAAGTTCGATATAGAATTCTGAGAATTCTTAAGGGACTTTATTATTCTAAATTTGAACATGGTTAATGTGATGAAGATTCAGTAAGATTGCTTGTAGAATCTAGTGATGTTGCTCTTGATCATACAGGTTCTATTCTCAATATTTGGGAATAATTGTTCCAGAGTTTTACAAGTTTTAGTAGTATCAAATACTTTTTCAAAGCCAAAGAATGGACCTTTTTAGGAGGATATGCTTAATAATATATCACAAAGCATTTAGGATTTGTTTATGATGTGACTACTACATTTATCTCATGTGCATCTGAAGTACTTACCTTATAATAGCATATGCCTATGAATAAGGGAGCAGTTAAGTTAATTATGGATGAATTAAGGAATGAGATTACTAAGGCAGAAATCTATTTAGGTAGTTTGAATGACACCTTTCCTGAAGTCATTAGAGCCATATAAACCAAAAGAGCTTCACATACAGTTCTAATGCATTAAAAACATCATTTAGAAGAGAATTAAAAAAATGGATTAGTTGATGATAAAGAATTTAATTCTCTTAAAGCTAATATTGATGCTCGTTTAGTTTAACTTGAAAATCATTCATTTGATTGGTAAATTCCAACATTTCATGCTTTTGCAATGGAATTCCCTATTTTTACAGGAGTACCTAAAGAAGAATTGGATACAATTGTTAAATCAACATATGAGAAAAGGTATTAGCAAGATGAAATTATATATGAAAAAGGAATGACTTGTTAAAATATATATATAGTTTAAAAAGGTACAGTAGATGATGAAGTTGGTACTCATATTTTGAAGAAAGGATTGGGTTCTTTACTTTCATATGCTAATTTAATTGGAGATGGGAAATGTATGACAACTGCTAGAGCTGCATCTGAGACTGTTTTGCATTCACTAAATTTGAATGTACTTAGATAATTAATGTAAAAGTCTGAATTATTTGAATAAAAAATATATATTAATTCAATAGGTAAGTATTTTTATTAAATTGATTAGAATATTTAATCAAATTATTTGAATCTTAAGCAGGGCCATTAGGATAAATGGAAGCAAAGAGATTGGGATAATTTTTAAGATCTAAGACATAGTTTAAGAAATTTGATGTAAATTCTAATGTAGAATTTATGTTTGGAGGATATATAATTAAAGGGGAAATTCAAAGTTGTATTTAAGATGATGGTGATGGATTTGAAATATATAGAGATTATTGGTATAGTTTTTATGAATATAATAATTAGTTATGTACCTCCAAGAGAAAATGATTTTATTGTAAATAAATCACTCATTTGTCTTGTTTTTGATGATGCAATTGATATCATTAAATAAGATAGATTAGAACAATTCAATTTAGAAAATCATGAAGAGATTGTATAGGAGAGATTCTCAAAAATAGATATTTAGCATCAATAATAGGAATTCTGATTATTATTATAATATAAATGAATTCATTATTTTTAGCTAGTAAGACTTATTTGATGAAAAAGTTTTCTATTGTTTCAGAATAACAACTTTACTTCTTTTTGGGTAAGAGATTTACTTTTCCAATTTGCAATTAAATTGAATTGATTCATTACATATATTTCTTATCATTAAGTAATGAAAGAAAGATATTTGGAGATTCTGCAAAATTTAGAGTAATTGAACTACTCAATCAAGAGAATAATTTTCTATATTCCATTAATTTAGAATAATATCTCTCTTTATTAGTTGGATTAAGTAATTTACTAATATATGATGAAACAATTTTAGAATAGATTTGTGAAGTACTTTCATCAAATCTTTAATATTTAAAATTAAGAGATAGATTATTAATTGTACATTGTCTCTAAAAATTAAGATTGGAAAAACATTATTTATTTACTATTATTGCAAATCAACTAAACAATTAATTTGAATATATGGATCATTTTGATTAAATCATCTTTCTATTAATATAAACTCGTCTTTATAATGAAAAGATTGTACCATAAGAATTAATAGAGGATTTATTAAAATAATTTATGGATTAAAAAAAGGAAGCTATCTAAAATTATGTTGGATCATTCAATTATCGCTTTTGCTAATTAATTTTCAATTTATTTCCTGAAGTAATTAGTTAAAACTATTATGATGCTTAACCCTTAGAATAAAATTAATTTTATCCTTATTTTAAAAAATTTTTAAGAACATATAAAATTGCTAGAAAAGTTATTGAAAAAAGAACTGGATATTAAAAGGCAGATTATTTTGAATACTAAAATATTAATTTTTTGAAAATGCCTATAGAAGAAAAAGAAGATAAATTTACAAATTTAGAAGTTAAAGTTCTTGAAGTCTTGAATTCATTAAATATTAAATATAAAACTTAATAAAGAGTACTTATTTATGATGTTGATATACTTTTATCAAATAATACCATAATAAATTGTAATGGTCCATTACATTTTATAATGAATCTTAAATAATAATAAATTGGATATAGTCCAAACCATCATACGGTTATAAGGTACTAATGAAGCACATAAATAGGCATCTTAAATCAGGAAAATACAAAATAGTTGATATTGAATATGAAGAATGGAATAAATACAAAAATTTATAAAATAAATAAAGTTATATATCGAGTCTAATAAATATTATATGATTATTTATATTAATTTAATACAAATTTTACATTATTCTTAATTAATCAAATTAATAAAGAAAATATCATTCATTGAAAACATCATCTTATGTAATATTATATTTAAAACTATTCATTTAAAATAAATAAGAAAATTATAATACTAATATATTAAAAAATACATAATTCAGTTTAAAATTTATATATTTTAAATTCAAATAATATTTGCGCCAAATTCTATTCATCAATGAGTATTCCTAACACTATATCATAATAACTCTCAGCTGAAAGAAGAAAAACATCACTATTTTTATATCCTTTCCCAAAGCCTTAAAGTGTTTCTCATTTACCAATCTTTAATCTAACAATAAATAATGAAAATATAAACCCGAATAAATAAAGTTGGAAAAAACATTAATCATCAAGATAATTAACTACTATCTCTTAAAAAAAAAGACCTTAAAATTTTATTGAGTTAGAGTCATAGAAAGATCCTAAAGTAATATAAAAATTTCCTATTTTTACTGATAATTAACTTGGAATAAAACCTGAATATTAAAAATTATTATAAGAAACATATAATAATGATAATGATGATGATATTAATACTAGAGAAAGTGTTATGCAATATTTTATTTAAGTGTGTAAATAGGATATAATTTAAGGATTGAGAGATAATTAAACAAAGAAAGATAAAGATGAACTAATAAATAAAGAACAAACAATAATTAATTATGCAGGATTGCAAAATAGGTTAAAAGAATAATATAATTCTATCAGCACTGATAATGAGTAATTTACTAATTGAAAATATTATTATCATTTATAATATGCTAAAATTTATATAAAAATTAATGAAAAAAAAATCACATAGATTTATAAACTCTTTTGAAAAAGATTTAAATTAATTAGAAACACCTCCTCATAGATCAATGCTTGCAAATTATGAAATTTTAATAAAAACTAAGAATTATTTAGATAATGTATTTTATTAAAAGCTAGAAAAATCTTCTATTCATACTCAAACAATACTGGCAGCTAGTGTAACCGACAATAAATCATTAGTTTTAGATGGAGAAAGAAACTTAAGATCTATAACTATAGATCATTTACCATAAGATCTTAAGATTGACTCTTAATTGAGATCAATTGTTGAAAAAAAAAAAAAAATAAAAGAATGTTCTCAAACTAAATTAATTTCAGGAGAAACATAATGTTCTCAAACAACTTTAAGAAAAGAAAATAGCAGCAGTTTTTTTAAGAAAGGAATTTTAAAAAATCAAAGTTTATAAGATGAATTTGTAGGGAGTTAAAAAAGAAGTGTAAGTGTACATTCAGGAAAAAGTGTGAGATTTAATCTATCCAATGATAATATTAGATAATTAATGATGTTTGGAAAATGATTAGATTACTTTTAGTTTTATATATCTCAATATAAGAAAATTGTAAGTCAAAATTCATCATCATTATCATTAAGACTTTCAGGTTATTATTTTTCTTCAAACAATGATTTTAATCCTTAACCATCCATTCTAGAATCAAAAACAACAGCAAAATCGTTTTATTCAGAATAAATATCAATTAATTTTTTTTTTTCTTTTGGCCATATGGATGGAGAAGGAAACAAAATATCTACTGAAAGTTGTATTGTATTATCAAATAGCTACTAAGTAAATTCTTTCATAAAATCTTAACATAAATCAAATTCTCTTGAAGGTTTGATATCAATTAACCATGGTTTATATTGATTATCAATCATTATTTTAACTTAAAGTAACTAAGTCTTATTTAATGAATACTTCAAAATTATGATCTTTAACTGGCATTTGAATAAATATTGATCTAATATATTCACATAAAATATTTTTTATTTCAGGAAGTATTTTATATTCGTAATCAACTCTACAATCATCAAAATAATCTATAATGGTTTTCATTGAAATCTTATTTGAATTATAATCTTGATTTAATTTAGTAATAGATTTAGACTATTTTTCAAAAGGAGAAAAACTTATTTATGATTCTTCTCCATAAAATTATTCAAATAAATATCCTCTCACTATTCCATTAATTTGAGTTATCAATAAATAATAACATAAATCTAATTTTATTTATTGATATACAAACGATCTTATATATTATTAGACAATAAAGCTTTATTGCTTTCTACTTGGAGTTTAGTACTCTTTTTAAATAAAGTTAAATACACTTTTTGTATTTTCACATAACTAAATTTCTCCTTCATTCTAACATTTCAAAACTATCCAAATTTCTGTAGAAGTTTTATAATTTCTAATAAATTCATAAAATGATTCTTCTCCTAAATTATTTACTATTATTGAAAAAGGAATGAAATCACAGAAATTTTAATTTGTTATAGAACAGTACTTTTAAAATCTAAAAATTAAATTCTTCTTTGTCCATAATGGATTAATTTCATCTATATGATTATGTATTTTTATATAAGGAGATAATAAACAAAGTTTTTATTCAATTGCAAATTTCATTTAATCTTCAACACCTTCACATATTTTCAAAATCTATTCAAAAGGTTAAAATTCAATTTTATCGCTTATGTGTCTTTATCTTTATTTATTTAAGAAAGAGGTTGAAACTTAACTTGCCCATAAAAACTATATTTCTTCATCATTTTCTTCTGCTTCTTACCACCACCATCTAAAACTAAAGCATTTTTTCAAAATCGATTCATTATTAGAATCCTCAATCCTATACTTTTATATTCTAATTGCTGAAGGACGAATATATATTGTATGTAGACATTAATTTTCAAATATACTTTTTTAAAAATGTTTAAGCTTTCTTTAAATTGGATCTTCATAATTCTATGTTTATTACAAGAAAATTGTTTTTTTTCTTTTCAATAATCTATTTTTTAATTTATTCAAAAACTCTTTTGGTCTTTAAATTTATGGTCTTTAAGGATAAATTAAGCTTTTTTCTGTTTAAATTGGAGATAACAAATTCTCTCTTTATTAATGGAATGGCCTCATTAAATCTTTAACAGATTTTTCTATCTAGAAAGGATAGAGTTATTTCATATTTTTGAGATATTAATAGTTGTGCATAGGACAGTTTAATCCTTGAGGAGATTTCTCTAGCTTTTTTAATTTAATATTATTTAACCTAACATCATCCATAACATATTCAAGAATTCTCTTTTGGCTCTCAATATTTTAAATGGATGTTGGTGATTATGAATTTATATTATAAGGTGATTAATGCTGCTTTATTGACCTTTTTCTTCCTCGAAGTTGAGTTAGGCTATCATCTTGTTTTTCTATTTTATATTTTTATAGGCTTCCATAAATATCACGTTAAGAAATATCACGATAGCTTTAATTTATAAAGGTTTCTTTTCTATGAGCAAAAATTGATTCTCTTTGAGGAGCTAATATTTTAAGAGTTGGTTAAAATGAATGATTAGCAAATAAATATGAGGGAGTTATTTACTAAGGTTGTATATCTTATTTTTTCATAAAATCACTATGAGGTTGAGTTATATTGGAATTAGTATCAGTATGAAGTTTATGAATAGAAGGAATTTTAAAGTTCATAAATTATAAAAAATTAGNTTAGACAATAAAGCTTTATTGCTTTCTACTTGGAGTTTAGTACTCTTTTTAAATAAAGTTAAATACACTTTTTGTATTTTCACATAACTAAATTTCTCCTTCATTCTAACATTTCAAAACTATCCAAATTTCTGTAGAAGTTTTATAATTTCTAATAAATTCATAAAATGATTCTTCTCCTAAATTATTTACTATTATTGAAAAAGGAATGAAATCACAGAAATTTTAATTTGTTATAGAACAGTACTTTTAAAATCTAAAAATTAAATTCTTCTTTGTCCATAATGGATTAATTTCATCTATATGATTATGTATTTTTATATAAGGAGATAATAAACAAAGTTTTTATTCAATTGCAAATTTCATTTAATCTTCAACACCTTCACATATTTTCAAAATCTATTCAAAAGGTTAAAATTCAATTTTATCGCTTATGTGTCTTTATCTTTATTTATTTAAGAAAGAGGTTGAAACTTAACTTGCCCATAAAAACTATATTTCTTCATCATTTTCTTCTGCTTCTTACCACCACCATCTAAAACTAAAGCATTTTTTCAAAATCGATTCATTATTAGAATCCTCAATCCTATACTTTTATATTCTAATTGCTGAAGGACGAATATATATTGTATGTAGACATTAATTTTCAAATATACTTTTTTAAAAATGTTTAAGCTTTCTTTAAATTGGATCTTCATAATTCTATGTTTATTACAAGAAAATTGTTTTTTTTCTTTTCAATAATCTATTTTTTAATTTATTCAAAAACTCTTTTGGTCTTTAAATTTATGGTCTTTAAGGATAAATTAAGCTTTTTTCTGTTTAAATTGGAGATAACAAATTCTCTCTTTATTAATGGAATGGCCTCATTAAATCTTTAACAGATTTTTCTATCTAGAAAGGATAGAGTTATTTCATATTTTTGAGATATTAATAGTTGTGCATAGGACAGTTTAATCCTTGAGGAGATTTCTCTAGCTTTTTTAATTTAATATTATTTAACCTAACATCATCCATAACATATTCAAGAATTCTCTTTTGGCTCTCAATATTTTAAATGGATGTTGGTGATTATGAATTTATATTATAAGGTGATTAATGCTGCTTTATTGACCTTTTTCTTCCTCGAAGTTGAGTTAGGCTATCATCTTGTTTTTCTATTTTATATTTTTATAGGCTTCCATAAATATCACGTTAAGAAATATCACGATAGCTTTAATTTATAAAGGTTTCTTTTCTATGAGCAAAAATTGATTCTCTTTGAGGAGCTAATATTTTAAGAGTTGGTTAAAATGAATGATTAGCAAATAAATATGAGGGAGTTATTTACTAAGGTTGTATATCTTATTTTTTCATAAAATCACTATGAGGTTGAGTTATATTGGAATTAGTATCAGTATGAAGTTTATGAATAGAAGGAATTTTAAAGTTCATAAATTATAAAAAATTAGTGATTATATGAGTAAATAAAAAACTAATTTATAGGATCAAACGTTGTTTAGAAAATTCATTTAATTGATACTTAATCACTTATTAATCAAGAATATTTATTGTATAAGTTAAATTCTAAAATTTAGATTTGATATTAAATGATATTATCTTTTATAGATATTTCATCATAATAATATCATTTCTTCATTCATTATAACCATAACTTTATTAAAAGAGAGCTTAGTAATAAAATAAATATAATAATTAAATTGATTTTATTTCTATTAGTAATTAATTAAAATTACGGAAATATAAAAAACTACTTTAAATTTCATTTCTTACTTTAAAACTGCAATTTTTATTTTGAGATTCCTAATAAGTTTATATAATTCTAATAAAATAATTTGAATAATTAAAAAGTAACTTATTTTTCATCATTTAATTTTAAATTGATATTTTATTTTCCAATTGTTAATCATAAATAAATTATTTAACAAAAATACCAGATATTTTAAATTCTTCAATGCTATAACTATATCCATTAAAGAATAGTTATATTCCATCTATAATATGTATTTTCTCTTTTTATTTTATATATTTATAGAGAGTAAGAAAAAGAAAAATCGCAAATGGAAGGGTTTGTAACTTATATATAAAAGAATATTTTTTAATATATTAATTTTAGTTTAGAGTTTCAACTTTTATAATGTGAATTTTATTTATCATAGTCATTTTTTAACTATATTTATATCTAATTGCTAAAGATAAGAGAAAATTCTTCAAAAGCTATACTTATCATAATATATTTTCAATATAATTAACAATTACATATATAATATAAATTTTAATTTGTTATTTATTAGAAGATTCAATATTAATATATATAAAAGTATTGATCTTATTTGTTTGTTTGTTTTTTTATTATTTAATATATTTAATTTATTTATTTGTAATATAAAAAAGTAAAGTAAAATATAAAGGATTTATGTATTAGATATGAATTATATATGAATATAGATTAGTTTAAAATAAATGGAAATTAGATTAATAAAAAAATAATAATAATAATAATATATTTTTTTTAATTATAATTTTAATGGGATAGAGTTGTATAAAAAAATAGAAATTATAATATGAAAGTGAATTAGAATGTTAATAGAATATTATATAACCAATAAGTCATAGTAATTAAATTAAAAGACCAATATATGAAATTTGTTATATAATAGGTAGAGAAGAAACAAATGATGAATTTTATGATTTTGATTTAGAAACTAAAAAGACTTAAAAAAAATAAAAAATGAAATGTGTTTATAATTCTAAATCAAATTTCTCTTTAGGTGTAAAATAATAAAAGTAATTAATCAAAAATTAATTAAAATCACTTGGTGCAGATGTTTCATAAATATTTAATCCAAAAAAATAAAAATTAATTCGTTCTGATCGTGAAAGTAGAGCTAAAGAATATAGTACTCGTTTAATATAAACTACAAGAGATCCAAAAAGAAATGGAACATTTTCATCAAATAAAAGTTATGATAACAGTTAATCTCCACTTTAGTTTTCTTTAAAATAATAAAATCATACATATGATTCTATAAAAGATGAAATTAAATCTGTTAGATCTATGAAAACTTTAAATTAATAAAATTTAAATCATGGCATCTTAAAATAAAAAAAAGGAAAAGCTAAATCTATGTATTACAAAAGAACAGTCAGATTTTAATTTTGAAATCATTTATATATTTCTTATTCTTTATCAATTGAATGAGTAATTCAATAATATTAATCTAAGCTTTTTATCTAATAATTTATTTTATTTATTCATTTTTTTATATTGCAAGTTTATTAAAAAATTATATGATATTTTAAATATAATTTACTTTTACACTTAAAATTGCAAATATGACTTTTTTCTGTATTTTCATAAAAACATATATTAAGATAATAAGGAGTGTTCGAAAAAATCTTTCTATTTAAAAGTGTAAATACTATCGTCTAGTATAATAAAATATTTGCTATATATATTGATCAAAATATTAAAGAATGAATTTAAAGATGATAAATCACTACCTCTTCAATTATTTTATAGCTGAATAATTTTTATTTAAATATTAAAATATAATATAAAGATAAAAATAAAATGAGTTTAAAAAATAGAATTAATTTTAATTAAAATATATTAACTCAGTTTTACTTATATATCATCTGTCTTTTTTTAAATGGTTGTCCTCATAGATAATAAGTGAAAGAATAGAAAAAATGAAAAAAATATTTAGTATTTAGAATATGATTTTATTGAGATAGTGATTAAATATATTTTATATAATTAAAATAAATTATAGTAAATTGAAAATAGATAAATGATTTAAAAAGAATAAGAAATATATAAATGATTTCAAAATTAAAATCTGACTGTTCTTTTGTAATACATAGATTTAGCTTTTCCTTTTTTTTATTTTAAGATGCCATGATTTAAATTTTATTAATTTAAAGTTTTCATAGATCTAACAGATTTAATTTCATCTTTTATAGAATCATATGTATGATTTTATTATTTTAAAGAAAACTAAAGTGGAGATTAACTGTTATCATAACTTTTATTTGATGAAAATGTTCCATTTCTTTTTGGATCTCTTGTAGTTTATATTAAACGAGTACTATATTCTTTAGCTCTACTTTCACGATCAGAACGAATTAATTTTTATTTTTTTGGATTAAATATTTATGAAACATCTGCACCAAGTGATTTTAATTAATTTTTGATTAATTACTTTTATTATTTTACACCTAAAGAGAAATTTGATTTAGAATTATAAACACATTTCATTTTTTATTTTTTTTAACTCTTTTTAGTTTCTAAATCAAAATCATAAAATTCATCATTTGTTTCTTCTCTACCTATTATATAACAAATTTCATATATTGGTCTTTTAATTTAATTACTATGACTTATTGGTTATATAATATTCTATTAACATTCTAATTCACTTTCATATTATAATTTCTATTTTTTTATACAACTCTATCCCATTAAAATTATAATTAAAAAAAATATATTATTATTATTATTATTTTTTTATTAATCTAATTTCCATTTATTTTAAACTAATCTATATTCATATATAATTCATATCTAATACATAAATCCTTTATATTTTACTTTACTTTTTTATATTACAAATAAATAAATTAAATATATTAAATAATAAAAAAACAAACAAACAAATAAGATCAATACGCTATAATTTGAAATTTAATCTACATATTTTGGTTCTCCTTTACATGCTTTAAATGTCAAATGATAAGTAAATATCACCTTTTATGAAATGCTAGCTTTATTAGATATTTGATTAATCAATGATTTCAATTCTTATTCATATTTTTACACATATTTAGATAATTTTCCTTGAGCATCTTTAGTTATTTTCCATCAACAGGGATCAAATTTTCTATCTCTACCTATATCAAAGCTCTAAAATAATTTATTTCTGAGCCTGCTCTTTAGTATTCTTAGGTTTTCTTTTTCAAATTCTAAAATTCCTACTGTCATAGTAGGTCTATATGGATTTTATGAAATATCTTCTTTATCATCTAGATAATTTGCAAGTCTTGATTTTCCTAATAATATGATTCTATTATTTATTTTTTTATTCAAGATCCTTTAGTGTAATTTATTATTTAAAATTAAAAAATCAGTACTTCTATATTTTAAATGAATAATCAGATTATTATGTAGCAATCTTTTAATTTTGAATTAGAATATATAGATAATTTAAAAGAAATTTAAATTCTAGATAGGATGAAGTGCCTTCTCAATATTTCAAAAAGTAAAACAATTAGAAAAAACGCTAAAGTAAAGAAAATATTTAGGAAAAAATATAACTAAATTTATAGCGAATCAATATTGCTATTTTAAGAAACTTAATGATTAGAAGAAAAAAGTACATAAATAAATATAAAAAATAAAGAGTAAAATTAGGTTATGAAAAATATATAAAAAAAAGATTAAGTTAAATTTTTTTTTTATTTTTGATTTAATTTTGATAGCATATAAGAAAATTTAAAAACAATAAGAAATTCTTTTTTAAACTAATAGCTCAAAATTACATTTATTTAATACATCGAATTTCTTTTGGATTAATGTTAGTTCTTATATTTTTAATCAAAATAATAATTTAATTTTTAGAAAATTATTTGCAAATTTATAGTTTATATCAAATATTCTAAAAATTAGTAATATGAGTTTACACATTTAGATAATTTATTAAAAGAATTAAAGATATTAAATTAATGAATCAGAATTTAGGCTTTAATATATCACTCAAATGCAATCTTTTCCAAAATAAGGTTAAATTATAAATCGCAATCAAGGTTATATTTATCTTAATTTTAATCACTAAAACTATGTATAGTTAAATCTTGATTATTTATAGTTGAATTGAGGGAAGTTAAAAATTAAGATTCATCCTAAATTTAAATTATTTTTGTTTTTTGTTGATTTAGTGTTTTCTAATTTTAGTTGTGCTTTATATCATATTTTCTCAACTAAATCAAAGCTTCTAAATAGACATTTTATTCTGTTTCTCTTTTGTTTATACCAAATTTTTATATTTTCAAAGTACTATTTAATTCTAATGTTATTTAGTATATAGATTTATTCGAATTTTACATAGAATCATCTTTTTTCCATTCAATAGTCAATTTAGGGTTTATTTCTAATTATCCTTTTAATGAATTTAAGTATTCTAAAAATGATGACTTGGGATTATATTTCCATTGAGCTTTAGCTATTTACTCTCCTCTAAAAATATTTTTGTTCAATACTTATTCAATAATTGAACAATAATTGGGTGAATAAGATCTCTTAGAGTTTCAAGATCATTTTACTTATCATAGTAATGGGCTCCTATGATTGATTTTAGACAATCCGATAATATTTTTGGATTGTTTCTAAGATTAATTAATTAGTAAGAAATACTTTAATGATTTTTAGTTTCCAACGTTGATAATATTTTATAGATTTAATAAGATTGCCATCTCTGATAAATATTTATCATTTATCAGTCTCTAACGTAGTTAAATAATGTCACTAGACTTTTTTAATTGACTTTATTCGTTTGGAAATCTACTTTAATGTAAAAATAAATACCCTTAAAGCATCATATAGTCATAAAAATAGAATTCAATTAGTTGTTGTCCGTCTATAATGAATTCTTCATTATTTCCATATTTATAAGGCTTTCCAGTCTTCTAAAAATATTCAATTTCATGTATTTTATTAGAGAGGGCTTAAACTAAAAGCTTTTGATTACGAAACTCTAAAAGATAATTGAACATTTTTTTTAATATATATTACATTTTGTAGAATCTAAATTTAATGAAGTTCTGTCTCTGTACAAAATTTAATAAAATTTATAATAATTAAAATTTGTACATTTTTTCTGTTTACTAAATAAAAAGAATAGAAAAATAAATACAATATAATATGAGCTGTGAAATGGTTAAGTTATCTAATTCATTCTGAATGAGTCAAAAATAAAAATTATAGGAATTAGAATATCATAAAATTTTAATTATAATATAATGATCAAATAATTAAATTAAGAGTCTATTTTACATATATCAACATCTTCAACTCTATAGAGTTTAGCAAGTTTTGTTAAAGAATTAATTGAGAATTCGATTGATGCTTAGTCAACATAAATTATTGTGAATTTTTTTAATAATGGCAAAGAAGGTTTTGAAGTAATTGATAATGGAATTGGAATTTCAACTATTAATTAAAAATAATTGGCTACTAGAGGAGGTACAAGCAAAATTTAAAATTTTGAAGATTTGGAAGTATCATATGTATATTATTAAGTTTGTTCTTACTCATGGATTTAGAGGGGAAGCTTTAAATTCAATAGCAACATTATCTAATGTAACAATTATTTCCAAACATAAAGATGAAGAACTAGGATGGAAATGGGAAATACCACAAGAACCAACCAAAATAGCCAGATAAACAGGAACATCAATTAAGGTAGAAAATATATTTTATACTCTTCCTGTTAGAGCATAAGAGTTTAAAAAGAATTATAAAATAGAATATAATAAAGCTATTAATATATTGACAGAATATGCAATCATTAATACAAATATTGAATTTAAAATCTATAATGAGGAAGAAGTATAATTTAATTAATTAATTAAAGAAAAATAAGAAAAAGCTCGTCTTAGATAGTGGATTGGAAAATCAAAATATGAAATAAAGAATTACAAATGTTTTAGGAGAGTCTATTGCTAACGACTTAATCCCTTTTGAAAAGATCTAATAAGATTTTACATTAAATGGCTTTTTGAGTAAAAGTATTGAAAGNTAGATTTATTCGAATTTTACATAGAATCATCTTTTTTCCATTCAATAGTCAATTTAGGGTTTATTTCTAATTATCCTTTTAATGAATTTAAGTATTCTAAAAATGATGACTTGGGATTATATTTCCATTGAGCTTTAGCTATTTACTCTCCTCTAAAAATATTTTTGTTCAATACTTATTCAATAATTGAACAATAATTGGGTGAATAAGATCTCTTAGAGTTTCAAGATCATTTTACTTATCATAGTAATGGGCTCCTATGATTGATTTTAGACAATCCGATAATATTTTTGGATTGTTTCTAAGATTAATTAATTAGTAAGAAATACTTTAATGATTTTTAGTTTCCAACGTTGATAATATTTTATAGATTTAATAAGATTGCCATCTCTGATAAATATTTATCATTTATCAGTCTCTAACGTAGTTAAATAATGTCACTAGACTTTTTTAATTGACTTTATTCGTTTGGAAATCTACTTTAATGTAAAAATAAATACCCTTAAAGCATCATATAGTCATAAAAATAGAATTCAATTAGTTGTTGTCCGTCTATAATGAATTCTTCATTATTTCCATATTTATAAGGCTTTCCAGTCTTCTAAAAATATTCAATTTCATGTATTTTATTAGAGAGGGCTTAAACTAAAAGCTTTTGATTACGAAACTCTAAAAGATAATTGAACATTTTTTTTAATATATATTACATTTTGTAGAATCTAAATTTAATGAAGTTCTGTCTCTGTACAAAATTTAATAAAATTTATAATAATTAAAATTTGTACATTTTTTCTGTTTACTAAATAAAAAGAATAGAAAAATAAATACAATATAATATGAGCTGTGAAATGGTTAAGTTATCTAATTCATTCTGAATGAGTCAAAAATAAAAATTATAGGAATTAGAATATCATAAAATTTTAATTATAATATAATGATCAAATAATTAAATTAAGAGTCTATTTTACATATATCAACATCTTCAACTCTATAGAGTTTAGCAAGTTTTGTTAAAGAATTAATTGAGAATTCGATTGATGCTTAGTCAACATAAATTATTGTGAATTTTTTTAATAATGGCAAAGAAGGTTTTGAAGTAATTGATAATGGAATTGGAATTTCAACTATTAATTAAAAATAATTGGCTACTAGAGGAGGTACAAGCAAAATTTAAAATTTTGAAGATTTGGAAGTATCATATGTATATTATTAAGTTTGTTCTTACTCATGGATTTAGAGGGGAAGCTTTAAATTCAATAGCAACATTATCTAATGTAACAATTATTTCCAAACATAAAGATGAAGAACTAGGATGGAAATGGGAAATACCACAAGAACCAACCAAAATAGCCAGATAAACAGGAACATCAATTAAGGTAGAAAATATATTTTATACTCTTCCTGTTAGAGCATAAGAGTTTAAAAAGAATTATAAAATAGAATATAATAAAGCTATTAATATATTGACAGAATATGCAATCATTAATACAAATATTGAATTTAAAATCTATAATGAGGAAGAAGTATAATTTAATTAATTAATTAAAGAAAAATAAGAAAAAGCTCGTCTTAGATAGTGGATTGGAAAATCAAAATATGAAATAAAGAATTACAAATGTTTTAGGAGAGTCTATTGCTAACGACTTAATCCCTTTTGAAAAGATCTAATAAGATTTTACATTAAATGGCTTTTTGAGTAAAAGTATTGAAAGTGGAAGTTATAAGGGATAAACTAGAAAAACATTTTGGTATTGTTACATTAATAAAAAACCTATAAATCCTCCCAAATAAATATTATAAGTGATGAGAGATATCTATAGATAACATAATCCTAATGGAAACTTTTTTTTTATATTAGAAATAAATTTAAGGCAAATAAATGATGCAGATTTCAATGTTAGTGTTGACAAAAGAGATGTATATTTGAAAAACGAAAAATTTATAATTGAAAATATTGAGTAGATTGTTAATGAAACTTTAGAAAAAAATAAAGAAAAACTTAAGTATATTGGAAAAGATGGAAATTTAGATTAATTTATTATGGCAACAACAAAATAAACTGAAAAACAAGCAATTTCACAAAATGTTGCTTAAACAGATAAAAGAAAAGATTCATTACCTTAATAAACAAAAGAAATTTAAAAAAGAAATAGTACATTCTTGAGTTAACTTAAGAATTTGAATTCCTAAAAGACTATCCAAAATGAATTTAATTAAAATGAATCTTAGTACACATAACAATAATAAGACTAATAGTAATAATAATAGTAATAATAATAATAATAATAATAATAATAATAATAATAATAATAATAATAATAATAATAATAATAATAATAATAATAATAATAATAATAATCAATTTCATCATAAAATAATCAAACATTACAATTTAAAGTAAATGATATGGCTCAATAAAAAGAAGAAAAATAATTATTTGAAGCTGATGAATTTGAATAAATATCAAAATAAAATCATTTTCTCAAAGAAAATTTTAATAACTTATAAATTATTGGTTAATTTAATAAAGGATTTATTATTTGTGAGCATTAAGAAAAAATATATGTACTTGATTAGCATGCATGTGACGAGAAATATAATTATGAGAAGTTAATCAATCAATTAAAATTCAATAGAGCTTAATTAATTGTTCCAATAACTCTTAAATTATCAGGATTTCAATTAGAATTGTTAATAGATAATTAATAATAGATAAATGAAAAGTTTAAATATTAAGTGGAAATAACTGATAATTGTGTTAAGGTAAAAACATGCCCCAGCTACAGTAATATTTAATTAGGAGCTGATGCTCTACTCTAGATTCTAGATTAGTTGAGTCAAGGCAAAAGATTAGATCAAATTGAGATCCCTTAAATTAAATAGAAATTAGCCTCTTAAGCCTGCAGAACTTCAATTATGGTTGGATCCGATTTATAAACAAAAGAAATGGAAAATGTAGTCAAAAATTTAACAACATTAATATCTCCGTGGAATTGTCCTCATGGAAGACCAACATTGATTTAAGTACAACAACCAAAATAAACTAAATTTAATAAAGGATTTAGCAACAATTTGTTGTATTGAGTGAAATTTATGATATAATATTAAACATTATTAAATCCAATAAGTTTAGTAACTTAGCTTTCAATAAATAATCAACCTGTATTACTAGGTGAATACATTTTAGAGTATAATATTAATAAAGTTTATAAATTTGTAAAATTTGAATTAGTAAAAGTGCTACATCAAGTAATGTTAAATTGGAATAATATCTTACATAATTTTAGAAGGAGAACAAGTACAAAATTTTTTATATTAACATCTAAATTAATTAATTAATTTTGCAATTCACTTTTAGCTACAAATTAATACAGGTTTAATTTTAAAAGTTTAGTTAGAAATTTAATATCTAATTGGCTTGCAATTGAAACATTTGATAACGTAATTAAATAATATGAGAAATTAGAAGAATATAGATTGAAAAATTCAATATTTAATTTACATCAGTATCTGTATTTCTCTTATTTACGAACAATCAATAGTGTCTTATATTAATAAATGAATAGTTCATATTGAAAATTCGTTTTATATTTTTATTATTAATGAAAGTTATTTTTATTATATTCCTTAGCTTGTTAATAGTTCAATGTGAGAAAAATTTGAGCACAAGAATAGAGAGTTTATTATAAACATAATTGGGTCATACACTACTATCAACAGCATAATTAGCATTATAAACAAATACTCCTTTAGATAGGTAAAGTTGTTATCTACTAGAGAATAATAGATACTCTGTAAGATTTAGAAGATAAATATCAAAAAGATTAGAAAGAGGAAGACTTAGAAAATAGAGAGTTTCAATAAAAATGTGATACAGATTTATCTAATCTTAATAATGAAATTGATGATATAAAGAGATTGAAGGTAAAGATTTAAGGAGCTATAGATTAACTAAAAGCTAGTATAGAGTATGTTAAATAAAAATATTAATTAGATCAAAGAAAAAGATTTTAGATGATAAAAATGCTTTGAGAAAGAACTTGAGAAAGGGAATGAATGAAGTAGATGTAATAAGAGAATATTAAGTAAAAGTATATGAAGAAAAGAGAGGAGAAGTTGGAAAGATAATTAAAACATTAGAAGAAGTAAAATTGGTTTATGCTTAAAAATTAAGAACAAACTTTATGGAATTATAGACTGACAAAACAAAAGTATAACCAGAAGTATTTGCAGAAGTAACTAAACAGCTAGTTAGTTTTGGTAAGTTCAAATCAATTGGAAAACCTTTTTAAAATATAATAGATTTTATGATTTAGATGAGTAAAAATGGAAACAATATAGGTGTTTTAAGGAATATAATAGATTTAAGTGAATCATTAATTAGACAAATAGATGAAATATGGTAAGTTGAAAGAAAGGCAGAAGAGGAGAGAGTAAGATGGTATACAGAATATCAGAAATTTATGAATACAGATTTTAAAATTTATGATAAGGAAATAGGTGATTTAGAAGCTTAAATTTAATCATTTAAAGATAGATTGGCAGAATACTAGAAAAAGATGGATGATTTAAATATTAGACTTGAATCTAAGGAATATACTAAAGAAGATAGGAGAAATGAATGTTAATAAGCAGCATATGATTATACTTAAAGAAGAACATCAAGAGCTGATGATCGTAACATAGTTTCTGAAGTGGTTGGATTGTTAAATGTGAATATGAGAGATCTTAAGGAAACTCTTGCTTAAAAAATGGCTGCTGGAGATCATATTTGATAACAGTTTACAGCATATATCATATTAATTTCATCTTCCTCATAACCATCATAAATTCATCTTTACTAACTTTGCCATCTTAATCAAGATCAGCTGCATATATCATATCTTTTAAAGTTTATTCATCACATTCTTCTCCTAAATCAGCTGCAACTCTTCTTAATTTTTCTAGATCAATAGCACCCTATATTATATAATTTAATTACTTCATTATCATCATCAAAATAGTTAAATGCTTTTTCTATTTCTACTTCAACATTCTTATCCTCCAACATTTTCTTTTTCATCATTTCAACAAATTCTTAAAATTCAATTGTACCAGATCCATCTCTATCTATTTATTCAACCATCTTTTGAACTTCTTCTTTAGAAGCATTAAATCCAAGAGCCTAATATTTAAAATTCTTAATTTACTTTCATTGCATTTCTTAATTCTGATTCATCGATTGATCCTGATTTATCTGTATCAAACAATGTAAATGCTTATTATAACACATCTATTTGTTCTTTGGTCAATTTGGTTCTTTTAGCTTTCTTATTATTCTACATCTTCTTTAACTAATTAAATATTAATATTTATATTAAATAATTATTTTTTTTTCATATAGCATTGCTAACAGTAACAATGAATTAATCTTTCATCATATAAAATTCAATATTAGATATCTAGTTTTCATAATTTATTATTTTATCATTATCACAAATTATTTTAATGCAATAAACAACATCTATAAGTAAAAGGATTGCTACTTTATTTCATAATGTATAAATGACATACATATATTAATACAGATAAAGGGAATATATAAGAAAGATTCTTCAGCAATATAAGTCGAAGGATAGAAAGAATTCTAAGAATATGTCGATTATTTATTAGAAAGAGGTATGAGAATTAATAATTTGCGAATGGCTT